CAAACAAACAAACAAAAAAACAAGTATTCTATTCAAGCTTGTTTCGGGGGAAGGGCAAGGGAGAAAAAGGGGTAGGTATGTATGTGTGGGGTGTGTATTCACACAGTGTGAAACTGTAATTTGTTTAATGGCAAAGGACTGTTGAGAGACCTACCTACATGTGCATTTGTATACATTTTGCATTAAATAATATAAGTATAAATATAAACCTTTATATTTATGTAGAAATATGTTATGTGTTCTTCACTTTTTTTGCTTAGCTACTTAATGCAATGGATTTTTCTGGACAAAGTCTAACTAAATGGAAAGGAAAGGATCTCTTTCTCTTTGGCTCAGTGAGCTCTGCCAGGGAAATGTAGCTGTTATCTGTCTGAGGCCCTGACCTTTATCTGGGAGCGACTCACCCTAATTTATGCCCAAGTGACTTGGAAAATAGCAAGTCTTTTTTTTTTTTTTTTTGGAGACGGAGTCTCGCTCTGTTGCCCAGGCTGGAGTGCAGTGGCCGGATCTCAGCTCACTGCAAGCTCCGCCTCCCGGGTCTACGCCATTCTCCTGCCTCAGCCTCCCGAGTAGCTGGGACTACAGGCGCCCGCCACCTCGCCCGGCTAGTTTTTTGTATTTTTTAGTAGAGACGGGGTTTCACTGTGTTAGCCAGGATGGTCTCGATCTCCTGACCTCGTGATCCGCCCGTCTCGGCCTCCCAAAGTGCTGGGATTACAGGCTTGAGCCACCGCGCCCGGCCGCAAGTCTTTTTAAACTCAAACATATATGGTAGGGAAAAGCAAGCCACCAAGTGCAAACAGAAGAGACTAGCTTTGAGAGGAAAGGGATGAGACTCCAAGAATGAAGATCTGTGTGAGCTTGGTTTGGGGGAGGTTTGTAGGGGGAAGAGTTTCAAGAGGGACGAAAGGATTTGTAATCGCTGCTGTAGGGTGTGTTAGGTATTGAGTGTGGGAAAGATGGGAAAGGATTTTTGTCTTATGCATTATTCCATTCCCATGTGACATTTTCTCTCTAAATAGTGAGGAAAAGATTTAAATTGTTCTCAATTGCATTTTCAGAGGGGCTGAGCCATATGGCAAACTAGTTTCATATTACAGTTGAAAACATTTTAATCCAGTGATGGCCTAAGGACTGCCTGACTTGTGCCAATTTGGAGTCAATTTATGGAACTAATATGTAAAGGGAATAAGTATTTATTTAGAGTGCTCCACACTGTGCTATGTTCTCTAAAAGACTTAAACGTGTGCAAATGCATGCTGTGAGTCCTCATAAAACTTGCTATCTGGTTAGAAAAGGCTTATCAGCTAAGTGACAATACTAGAACTTCAGAGAAAGGGCTTTGAATGAGGCTAGAAAAGGAGCCCTAGGGCTATAGGAAAAGGTTAGGTTTGGGAGAGAGAGGACAATTTTAAATTAGGCAGGACCACAGGAGTGATAGTTCAGAAGGAGAATGCAAGTGTAACTTACACAGTGTAATAATAGTGATGTCTTAAAGGATTCCTGTAATATGTCACTCTTCTCAAAGCTCTTTCACTCCAATTAGCTCTGTAGCCCTAGGAGGGAGACCAGGTATATTTATTAGCATTTTACAGCTAAAAGAAATGAGGACATGAAATTCAGGCAGGCTGTGAATGGCCTGAGGTCATGCAGGGGACAAACCATGCTCTTCGTGTTTATCACCTTATCCTTGATCCACTGTCCCCAAGCAGCAGGACATAAAGGACAATTTTAGCAGTTTGGCGAGGAGTTGGGGTACTGCAAAGAGACTAATGAGGATGCTGGTTCAGCTACTGTAACAGAGGCCAAAGTCATAGGCACCTAAGGAAAGGCAGGCTTTTCTTTGTGTGCAAGTTTAAGCTGGTTGTTAGTCCAAAGGAGTCAGACACAGACAGTTTTAATCCACAAGGGCATTGCACCTCTCCACATCTATTTGCCCCCTTCTCTGTGCCTGTGGAGGCTGATCTACATGGGAACATCACCCCAGGCCCTTGGTTTAGTCAATGGGAGCCACCAGTAAAAGACTGGACAGGGAGGAGAGTGACATCAGGGCGTCCATGACCCAATGTCCTCTGCAGAGTTGTCATGGCTGGTTGCATCCCTTGTCCAAAAATCACAGCTCCTGTTAAGAGGCCCTCCTGGCCGGGCGCGGTGGCTCACGCCTGTAATCCCAGCACTTTGGGAGGCCGAGGTGGGTGGATCACAAGGCCGGGAGATCAAGACCATCCTGGCTAACACGGTGAAACCCTGTCTCTACTAAAAATACAAAAAATTAGCTGGGTGTGGGGGCATGTGCCTGTAGTCCCAGTGACACAGGAGGCTGAGGCAGGAGAATCGCTTGAACCTAGGAGGCAGAGGTTGCAGTGAGCTGACATCGCGCCACTGCACTCCAGCCTGGGTGACAGAGCGAGACTCTGTCTCAAAAACAAAAACAAAAACAAACAAACAAGAGGCCCTCCTACACAGTCTGTCTTCAATATTCAGTGGTCACCCTCTCACTTTACCCCTCAAACCAAGGGGGGGGATGTCCCCTGCCTGGTGCTGGCTCTGGGATGCTGTACTATCTTTTATGGCTTTCATCCACCCTACCCATGTCTTTGTAAATAGTCCCCTTATTGAACTGCCCCAGGTGTGTCCCGTTTCCTGGTAGGACCCTTACTGGTACAGTCAACCAGGGACCTAAGTTTCTTCCACCTTGTTTCATAGTATTAGCTTCATGTGCATGGGGATAGCCGGCTTACCATAGTCCCACCCAATTGAAGGGGCAGGAGTGGGGTGGGGGCGGAGGGTGTTTTTGTGTCCTCTTGTTGCAGTAAGAAATATTCACAAACTTAGTGGCTTTAAATGACATAAATTTATCTCATAGTTCTGTAGGTTAAAAGCCCAATTCAGGGCTAAAATCAAGGTGTTGGCATAGTTGTATTCCTTCCAGGGGATTCTAAGGAAGCATCTCTTTCCTTGCTTTTTCCAGCTTTAGGGACAACTTACCTTCCTCAGCTCTCAGCCCCTTCCTCCATGTTCAAAGGCAGCAATGTCAGGCCAGTCCTCCCGTGCAGCTGTCTCTCTGGCTCTCTCCTGCCTTCTCTTCCACTTGAGAGAACCCTTGTGATTACACTGGGCCCACCTGGAAAACTCAGCATCCTCTCCCCATCTCAAAGCCAGTTGATGAAGACCTTCATTCTGTCAACTTTCCCTTTGCCATGTAATGTAATATATTCACAGGTTCTGGATATTAGGACGTGGACGTCTTTTGGGGGTCATAATTCTGCCTCTCCCACAAAGGACAAACAACTTCCTTTTAGGGTTGTGCCCTGGAAATTGCACACAACATTGACACTCATCTCTTATTGGCCAGAATTTAGTCACATGGTCACATCAGACTGCAAGGGAGATTGAAATACAGTCTCTCTTGCTAGGCAGCTGTGTGCCTGGTTAAAACGTGGAGAAGTCCTATTACCAAAAGGAAGAAGGGGTAGAATGGATGTCAGACAGCAATTTCCAGCCTGAGCCTCAGGAGTCTCACGCATTGTTGCCAAGGTCTGCTTTCAGCTTTCCTTTCCTTCATTGTGTCATGTTAGTGCTTCTGCCTAATTGTTTTCACCTGTTGGTTCTGAGCTGTCCTTCATCTGGGACTGGTTTCTAATCTGGAAGAAGAGACAGGATAGTCTCCTTTAATGGGCACACCAGCTACCTCATGGCGACTTGCTTTCTGATCTTCATATTGATTTTCTGATGTGGTTAGCTGGGTTCCAAATACTTCTACCTGCCCTATGGGGTTCAAACGTGGGCTCTCTGACTCCTCCCCTCACTCATCCCCTACTCTGAGATGCGCAGATTCCATCCTGACTCCTCCACGCTGGTCCCTCACACACCTTATCGGATCTCCTAGTGTTAGGGAGATGTCATTTTCAGTCGACTTGAATTAAGAAAATGATTAGATTAGTGCTGTAATCCCAGCACTTTGGGAGGCTGAGGTGGGCAGATCACAAGGTCAGGAGTTCAAAAACAGCCTGGCCAACATGGTGAAACCCTGTCTCTACTAAAAATACAAAATTAGCCAGGCGTAGTGGTGCATGCCTGTAATCCCAGCTACTCAGGAGGCTGAGGCAGGAGAATCGTTTGAACCCGGGAGGTGAAGGTTGCAGTGAGCCGAGATCGCACCACTGCATTCTGGCCTGGGCCACAGAGTGAGACTCCATCTCAAAAAAAAAAAAAAAAGAAAGAAAAAAGAAAAAGTATGCATGTTGTTGCATATAAATATTTCATATGAGGTATTAAGATTCATCTTCTAATCATATTATCAATTGACTACATATAGGTTGTTTACTTCCTTTAATTCTTTTTATTTATTTATTTTGGCTACTCACATTAAATCCTCTTAGATGGGAGGCAGAGCTGTGCCTTCTACAATGAAAGCCGATGGAACCTCTTATAGGCAGAATACATGGATCTGAAACCAAGAGTGGGAATACATGACACTGAACACAATTATATCCAAATGACTTACAAGCAAAACGTTCCTTTTTGTACATGTGACTTTGGGTCCTGGTCTCTAAGGAAGTGTGTTTTTACTCGATGATATAATGGTTGTTCCACTGAATTAGAATATGTACCAATACCCAGCTATTTCAAGCTCTTCACTAAAGGATAAACAAGCAAAAAAGGAAGTTGTATAATTTTGGCTGATGTAATTGATCCTGACAAAGATAAATGGAGCTGCTGGTTTGCAGTGGCAAAGGAGGGATGTGACTGGGACCAGAGGGACCATGGAAGGAGCAGTAGAGATAGCAGGTCGTAAATCCCAGCAAAAGCCTCCTGAGTGATTACAAAGACAAAGACTACGTCCTCAATCTGTGTTTCTGAATATGCTACGTTTTGTGTGTATTTATATTTTTAATTATCAAATATATTTAATTTCCTTTTTGTCTCCCTTTCCTCCCTCAGTAGTCTATATTTGGTATTTGTTGGTGGTTAACTTTACAATTTTGATTGTAAGTTGCAGTATTTCCAGATAGAATTGTTAGCTGAAGTGCAGAAGAAGTGGACCTCAGCTGGCAGCCAAGGTTTCAGAGCTGGATGCGCTTGGTGAGTGATGAGACTGTGGGTTGGTTTCCCTTGAAGACAATGTGGGTGTGCTTTCATTTGGCTGAGTGCTACATTTTGTTTGGTGGAAGCATTTATTTTTACTTTAGAAGGGAAAATGGGGGACGGGTGCGGTGGCTCACGCCTGTAATCCCAGCACTTTGGGAGACCGAGGCGGGCGGATCGCCTGAGTTCGGGAGTTCAAGACCAGCCTGACCAACATGGAGAAGCCCTGTCTGTACTAAAAACACAAAATTAGCCAGGTGTGGTGATGCATTCCTGTAATCCCAGCTACTTGGGAGGCTGAGGCAGGAGAATTGCTTGAACCCAGAGGTGGAGGTTGTGGTGAGCTGAGATCGCACCATTGTACTCCAGCCTGGGCAACAAGAGTGAAATTCCATCACAAAAAAAAAAAAAAAAAAAGGGGGGGGTGGGAAATGGGATGAAGAATGTATTATGATATTTGGAAGTCAAAGGGATGGACTTTATACATATTGATTACGTTTAATAGAAATTTGTAATTTTTTTGATAGCTGGCATCAAAATCCTTCCTATCTTGGAGGATTCCAAAGATAGATGGAGGAAAAACTCCCCTTCTACTACCAAAGTCAAAGGGAATAGATATTCTCTCTACTTAGTCAATATGGTACCCAGGGCACATGAGGAGGCCCGGCCAACTGGATTACTTCTCCCAGGAATGCTGAGTAGTGAGATAGTGACACAAGATGCAGAGACAGTTGCAAGTCACTGGGATGGTGGCGAGTGCCCAGGGAGGCCAGCATTGGCCTGAGTGTACTGAGGTGTGGTCTTGGGAATATTGCCAGATGCATAATTGTCCTTAGTTACATTTTCTCCAGCCATTTCTTTTTGTATGCTGTCAGATATCTTTTGAATAAATTCCTTTCCTGCTTAAGCTACTGCTGGTTTTCAGTGATTGCATCCAAGAACTCAGACTGGTAAAATCCTAATGTTTAACTGGTTTATTGTTAGTTACTTAGCTTCTTTGCATTTTTAATATAAGGTGTGCTTCAATGATTTAGGCACAAAGCTTTTCCCTCCATCATAAGATTATTTTCTTTTTTTTTTTTTTTTTTTTTTTTTTGAGACGGAGTCTCACGCTGTTGCCCAGGCTGGAGTGCAGTGGCGCGATCTCGGCTCACTGCAAGCTCCGCCTCCTGGGTTCACGCCATTCTCCTGCCTCAGCCTCCTGAGTAGCTAGGACTACAGGCGCCCACCACCGCGCCCGGCTAATTTTTTGTATTTTTAGTAGAGACGGGGTTTCACTGTGGTCTCGATCTCCTGACCTTGTGATCCGCCCGCCTCGGCCTCCCAAAGTGCTGGGATTACAGGCTTGAGCCACCGCGCCCGGCCTAAGATTATTTTCTTAACATACAGTTTCCACAGTGGAATTACTGAGTTTTATAATAGATTATGATACACACTGTCAAACTGTTAATACTTTACAATGTAAAGAGATACTGTTTCACTGAATCTAGCATTGATCACATTTTGAACAACTGATACAGCAAGTAATAGAAGTTAGAATGATTTATCTGGCGTTACTGAGGAATGAGATTTTTCACATATATAGATTTTTTTAGATAACTAAAGCTTATTATTTTATTATATATATATTTATTATTTATTTTAAATATACGGAGTCTCACTCTGTTGCCCAGGCTGGAGTGCAGTGGCACAGTCTCGGCTCTCTGCAAGGACTCTGCCTCCCAGGATCAAGCGATTCTCATGCCTCAGCCTCCCAAGTAGCTAGGATTATAGGCACCCCCCTCTGTGCCTGGCTAATTTTTGTATTTTTATCAGAGACAGGGTTTCACCATGTTGGCCAGGCTGGTCTCGAACTCCTGACCTCAGGTGATCTGCCCGCCTTGGCATCCCAAAGTGCTGGGCTTACAGGCATAAGCCACTGCGCCTGGCCAAAGCTTATTATTTTAAACACTAACATCTAGAAAGCACAACCATAGGCCGGGCGCAGTGGCTCATGCCTGTAATCCCAGCATTTCAGGAAGCCGAAGTGGGTGGATCACTAGGTCAGGAGTTCAAGAGCAGCCTGGCCAACATAGTGAAACACTGTCTCTACTAAAAAAAATACAAAAATTAGCCAGGTGTGGTGGCACGCACCTGTAGTCCCACCTACTTGGGAGTCTGAGGTAGGAGAATCACTTGAACCTGGGAGGTAGAGGTTGCAGTGAGCTGAGATGGTACAATTGCACTCCAGCGGGGTGACAGAGCAAGACTATGTCTCGGAAAAAAAAAAAAAAGAAAGAAAGAAAGAAAGAAAAAAGCACAACCATATACAATTGCAGTCTGCAATCTTTTCAGGGTATATCACATACTTCCTACCATCATCAAACTGCAATGCCCAAGGACCTCCTTAGGTGATGAGTTTGTCTTGCCTTTATCACTTGATTCCCCAGATAAGTGTGCTTTTCTAACAGCTGGGGATTTTTCTGCTTCTTTAGAACTCAATAGCTAGTTCTCCCAGTCAGCAGATAGAAACCATTCTCTCTTTAACCATTCCCACACCCCCTGGCCTGTTACTTGTATAGTCTCTGATCACTGAAAAGGAAGAACAATTGAATGTTGCTATTGCAAACAAAGAAACCATGCTTGTAAAATTGTCTATTATTTGTAATAAGTTGAAAGTCAGTATCCTGATGGGAAAGCTGGGGTGTGTTCCACCCTCAGCTGTGGAGGAAAGAATGTAGACTTGGTGACAGCTGCATTTTTAGACTCTGGGTTATTTTATGCACCATTAATTGGTGGAGGTTTGAAAAAGTCTCAGTGCTGGATATGTGAACCATTGTAATTATATACTTCAAGAGAGCTTTCTAGGGTGGTCCTTCCTGTAGAAAAGTTTCTTTCTATTCTTCAGGATCTCTAGGAAAATAGATTCTGCAACTTTTTTTAACAGCCTACATTTTAAGATTTTTCAAATTAATGTATAATTCTAAAGCTCTTTTGTTGAATTTTTATATCCTTTTTTTTTTGAGACAGAATCTTGCTCTGCCACCCAGGCTGGAGTGCAATGGCCTGATCTCGGCTCACTGCGACCTCTTCCTCCTGGATTTAAGCTATTTTCCTGCCTCAGCCTCCGAGTAGCTGGGATTACAGGTGTGCACCACCATGCCCAGCTAATTTTTGTATTTTTAGTAGAGACAAAGTTTCGCCACATTGGCCAGGCTGGTCTTGAACTCCTGACCTCAGATGACCTGCCTTCCTCCATATCCCAAAGTGCTGAGATTATAGGCATGAGCCACCACGCCTGGCTTTAAATCCATTTTTTATGAGTCAGTCCTTAATGGAAATGCTCCAGCAGATCTTCCTTTTTCATATGTCAGTGTTGATGTTTATTATTTCTTATTCAAAAATGTGAAACCAAACTCCCTTAAAATAATCTTTCTGAAGGATAGCTTTTACAAACAGAAGCAATTTGTTCTATTATAAATCACACATGCAAAAAAAGTTAGCGTGAAATCAGACTCATTTTGAAATGAGACAATATGATTTTTATACTAAACAATAAGAACATGATTGCTAGTCTTTTAAAAATAAGCAACACATTTTACAGAAAAAATATCTACTGATAAATGAGGAGAAGTAGTTCAATATTTATCTTTTTGAATATTGTTCCAGTGCCATTTGGGGAAAATAGAATCCCCTGGTTGAGAATGAGTGTGTAGGAAAGTAGGTATAAAAGCAAGTTACATTTTGAATTCTATGCAGTTTATTCACAAAAGAATAGTTTTGCAAATAAAAGTAAATCCAAATAAACATAAAATATAGGACAATCTAGTACATGCCATCCATATGTATTCCATCCTAGTATTGGAGATATTTATTTAATGTTTAGGTTTATTTGACTGAAATGATTATTAGTAAGTAGAGTACTTACTTAAATTTCTACTTGTTATATGGAACCTGTTATTTTTAAGTTAGGAAAGAGAAAGGAAGGCAAGAGGAAAGGTTTCTGAAACCAGAGACAATCTCATTACTTTCCCCTTTCAATTATGAAGTGGCATTTTCCGGGTGGCATTTCAACCTCCAACCACACTGAGCAGGTGTGTAATAAGGACAGGCTGTGGGGAAGGAAGGTAGAAGACATTCTCAGTATTTCACAGGTTCAACAGAGCCCCATGGGCTTGTACATCAGAAACCAGAAACAAAGGCACAAGCTTTTGCACTTTAACTCTGCCTAGCTATAGCACGTAGCATATTTTTTTTCTTGTTCAACGATTTCATTTTTAATGGCAACAACTTGATCTTCCAATATTCTCAGTTGATCAGCTTTTGCTTGTCTACTTAGATTCAAATCTTGGATTTTCCTTTCTAAATCTGAAAGTAGAAAACGAAAGAAATGATACATTTCCATTTGATAGATTCCTCCTGGATATCCACATTATACCAAACACAGGGATTTGCGCGCCTCTCAAAGGTATATTTAGTTTTCTGTTTTGAGTCAATGGATAAAACATCTATTTTCATCAGGCTTCTCAAGGTTTTCATATAAATTAGAGCAAACTGACATTTTTGTCTAAAACTTTTATATCTAAAGGCATTTATCAATGTGAGGCTGTAGTTGGTTAGAATTCATTAGAAATGAAAAGACAGATAACATCCTTGATGGGACTTGCTGAAGTGCTATATTTCCAAAGGTTTGTTCTTATTATTTTAGCTTCATTTTAAAACATGTTCTTTACTTTAGTGTTTTCCAGTCTTTCAGAAAAAAAGACTGACTTTCATGTGTTCATTCTTCTTCTCTGCTGATACTGAAGTCTCTGAACAGTAACAGCTAAGTGATGCCTTTGTTGGCTTCACGCCTATCCATCCATCAATCCATTGATCCATCGACACGTCCATTGACCCATCCATCAATCCATTGATCCATCCATCCATCCATCTGTCCATCCATCCATCTATACATTCATTTATATATTCTTCATTCAACAAATATCTGGAAATTCTAGTAAACCTTAACAAGGAGC